ATGGTCGCAGTACATAAAATACCTCGTCCTAGTGATATTGTTTCGACATTCTTTTTTTCATATCTCAAACGATGAAATCTGGTAAATGACCAGCCATCGTTTGATATTAATTATCATTGTAAAAACTAGCTGTCAATTCACAACATTCTGTCAAGTATATATGAAACCCGGATTACAACACGCTTGCATTGACTGCGTTGTTATGGAGACAACAAGTCCTTTCAGTTGCTGTCATGTAAAATGTGTTGTTGTAGATATTGTTTTGTGTATGGGAAGAACAGTTGCCTGGCACTAGGAAAATATCTGTCAAATGTTTATTAAATAACGCCTTGACTATCAGTCGTACATTATGTATTCCTAGTGGTATCTTTATACTTTATTTGCTACGCAGACCTCTATCATTTTCAGACGATATGTATAGAAGCCCCCTGCAGACGGCCTAATCCTCCTATGACAACTAATGGTTTAACCTTACTTTAAACTCTAATTAAAAAATAAAATATCTACAACGAGGTGTCAGGTGTTCATGTATGACACGTACTCAGTCGCTATCATATATTGCACTTATTATATTCAATAAATATGACTACCGTGAAATAGTCGTCACAGTGTTACATTCCAGATAAATAGAACATACGAGTTCAACTACGGTAAATGTCATACACATTGGGACGTTATCGCTACCAGTCCCTCAATAAATGTGTTTGTTTTGCTTTAGATTAAAAAAACTACCAGAGTGCACGAGTTGGACGATACTAATTGTAACAAGATTTCCACCAGACTGACGTAAGTTAGTCGAGTTATATCGATTTAGTAATCAAGATTATTAGTATGTAACGTAAATTTGACGAATGCGACTTTACTAAAATGGGAACGCACTCAAACTTATTACGAAAGCTTTAGACCTGCACGTGTTGTCTGCAACCATTTCATCAGACTGGTTGCAATATGGGTGCCGATTAAAATCTACCAGGCGGTGGGTTGTGACGGCAAATAGTTCATTAATTTGCACCAGAATAAATTTGCAAATAAAAGCTATTATCATAATGTGTTTGCTCCTTTGAGTTTTATGTTGATGATAACGCGAGAATGTTAGATAACTTAGATATTGAATGAGTATATTTTTTGAACAATTAATTAATTATATTATTGTTTACTAATTACTTGATAAAATATTATAACTAATTGCACGTTTGCACGCTGTGCTGTGTTTATTTGCAGAATGACTGTCGGGACATGAAGCAAATATCGCTAAACTAAAGTTGGCTGTATTTGATGTAACTGATACAACCAACACGTGCATCTAGTGGATTAGCAACAAAATTTAAATGAAAAACACTACAGGAATTAATTCATCTCAGGTTGAATGTCTGCATAAACACGTGCATAAACACGTGCCGTAGTATTAAGCTATCTTTTTATGGGGATAAGAAACATTGATCTATCACATAGTGTGTGTTTCGGGAATATGTTATTTTCAAATTGTAACGTTATTTCCCAAACGTTTTAACCGGTGAGTCATTGCCGTTAAGTGTTCACATTAATTTTAACGTTGATGGGTGACTGGAATTGGGCAATGAACGGCGATGAACTTACAACAGTTTTTCTTCTCAATCAAACACAGGGTTAAATATAATATAGTTATCATAGCTTTGAAATGAGTAATGCGGGAAAACTTGATGAAGACTACACTATTGTGACAACTACCATTGGTAACAAAGTATTAATCGCGGAGACATACATATCAACTTCTCACTTAAATTCGCTCTATGATTAAAAAGGCTAGGCAGCACATGTTAATCGTATCGGTCAATTTCAACGTAATAACTTACCTGGAACTGTAAGTATGAGTGCAATGCCCACAATTCTCACGAAGACCGCTGACATGTTGTCTACGTACATTCCTTGCATTACTCACAGCAATGGACTGATGTGTGTTATACTACAGTCTCGACTGTCGTCGCCAGGACAACAACGACACGCATTCAATGATTTCAGTGACTCCAAATGTGTCCACATGCCAACGCCTTTCAAGTATGTATCAGCGTGCAATGAAAGCGGCGATGAAAAGACGGTGTACTGGGCGGCTGTTGGCCAGCATTCACTATGTGTTTCCCTTACAGCGTAAATAGTATTGTAGTAATTACAATAAGCGGAGACTTTCCTTACTGCAAAGTCAACACAAAAACATATTGTAGCGGGCCCGGTGTAACTACCCTTCCCAGTCACAATAACATCACTCTATGTTTTATCATACGCGTGTTCTTCCTTAAAATAGAACCAAACTTTAGTCACATGACTAATCTAATAGTCAAATGCACTTTAGATTATCGCTTTACTTCACTCTAACAATGTCAACACACATATAATTCACGAGGGAGAGTGCTAAGTTATGACGTCACTCTGGAAATTAACGCGTGTAGCCTCATGCAAGACCGAGGTTTATCGCTATAATCGTCACATGCCTCTGATCATATTTTGCGTTGAATTGTACATTAACAACCACAACCTTCAAATTTATTGGAACATAACTTGAAACTCACAAATCAGGACACGTGTTTTAACAAAGTACAGTCACTTGGCATCGACAGAGTGGGTAAATGATACACATTTATTTTATATATATATTATCTACATTGTTTGGAGGTAGTCTGCAGGATCTGGATAAGTTCTACTCTGTAACTCACATTAAAATAAATCAGTGTAGTTCTACTCTGTAACTCACATTAAAATAAACCAGTGTACGCTCTTCTCTGAAAATCACATTTAAATAAATCAGTGTACGATCTACTCTGTAACTCACATTAAAATAAATCAGTCTACGTTCTACTATGTATTTCACATTAAAATAAATCAGTGTACGCTCTTCTCTGTAACTCACATTAAAATACATCAGTGTACGTTCTACTCTGTAACTTACATTAAAATAAATCAGTCTACGTTCTACTCTGTAACTCACATTAAAATAAATCAGTGTACGTTCTACTCTGTAACTCACATTAAAATAAATCAGTCTATGTTCTACTCTGTAACTCACATTAAAATAAATCAGTCTACGTTCTACTATGTATTTCACATTATAATAAATCAGTGTACGCTCTTCTCTGTAACTTCACATTAAAATAACATCAGTGTACGTTCTACTCTGTAACTCACATTAAAATAAATCAGTGTACGTTCTACTCTGTAACTCACATTAAAATAAATCAGTCTATGTTCTACTCTGTAACTCACATTAAAATAAATCAGTGTACGTTCTACTCTGTAACTCACATTAAAATAAATCAGTCTATGTTGTAACTCACATTAAAATAAATCAGTGTACGTTCTATTATGTAACTCACATTTAAATAATTCAGTGAACGTTCTACTATGTAATTAACATTAAAATATATCAGTGTACGTTCTACTCTGTAACTCACATTAAAATAAATCAGTCCACATTCTACTATGTAACTCATATTAAAATAAATCAGTGTACGTTCTACTCTGTAACTCATATTAAAATATATGAGTCTACAATCTACTATGTAACTTACATTAAAATAAATCAGTCCACGTTCTACTATGTAACTCCCATTAAAATAAATCAGTGTACGTTCTACCTACGTAACTCCCATTAAAATAAATCAGTGTACGTTCCACTCTGTAACTCATATTAAAATAAATTAGTGTACGTTTTACTATGTAACTCGCATTAAAATCAATCAATGTACGTTCTACTCTGTAACTCGCGTTAAAATAAATCACTGTATGTTCTACTCTGTAACTCAAATTAAAATGTATAAGTGCACGTTCTACTCTGTAACTCATATTAAAATATATCAGTGTACGTTCTACTCTGTAACTCACTTTAAAATAAATCAGTGTACGTTCTACTATGTTACTCACATTAAAATATATCAGTGTACGTTCTACTATGTAACTCGTATTAAAAATATATCAGTCTACTTTCTACGATGTAACTCACATTAAAATACACCAGTCTACGTTCTATCCTGTAACTCCAATACAAATAAATCAGTGTACGTTCTACTCTGTAACTCACATAAACATACAGCAGTCTACGTTCTACTCTGTAACTCACATTAAAATAAATCAGTGTACGTTCTACCCTGTAACTCCCATTAAAATAAATCAGTGTACGTTCTACTCTGTAACTCACATTAAAATAAATTAGTGTACGTTCTACGATGTAACTCGCATTAAAATCAATCAATGTACGTTCTACTCTGTAACTCGCATTAAAATAAATCACTATATGTTCTACTCTGTAACTCACATTAAAATAAATTGGTCTTCCTTCTACTATGTAACTCACATTAAAATGTATAAGTGCACGTTCTACTTTCCAACTCATATTAAAATATACCAGTGTACGTTCTACTCTGTAACTCACATTAAAATAAATCAGTGTACGTTCTACTATGTTACTCACATTAAAATAAATCAGTGTACGTTATACTATGTTACTCACATTAAAATATATCAGTGTACGTTCTACTATGTAACTCACATTAAAATAAATCAGTGTACGTTCTACTATGTTACTCACATTAAAATAAATCAGTGTACGTTCTACTATGTTACTCACATTAAAATAAATCAGTCTACGTTCTACTCTGTAACTCACATTAAAATAAATCAGTGTACGTTCTACTATGTAACTCACATTAAAATAAATCAGTGTACGTTCTACTATGTTACTCACATTAAAATAAATCAGTGTACGTTCTACTATGTTACTCACATTAAAATAAATCAGTCTACGTTCTACTCTGTAACTCACATTAAAATAAATCAGTGCACGTTCTACTCTGTAACTCGTATTAAAATATATCAGTCTACTTTCTACGATGTAACTCACATTAAAATACACCAGTCTACGTTCTATCCTGTAACTCCAATACAAATAAATCAGTGTACGTTCTACTCTGTAACTCACATTAAAATAAATCAGTGTACGTTCTACTATGTTACTCACACTAAAATAAATCAGTGTACGTTCTACTATGTTACTCACACTAAAATAAATCAGTGTACGTTCTACTCTGTAACTCACATTAAAATATATCCGTCTATGTTCTACTCTGTAACTCACATTAAAATAAATCAGTCTATGTTCTTTCCTGTAACTCCAATTAAAATAAATCAGTGTACGTTCTACTATGTTACTCACACTAAAATAAATCAGTGTACGTTCTACTCTGAAACTCACATTAAAATATATCAGTGTACGTTCTACTGTGTAACTCATTAAAATAAATCAGTGTACGTTCTACTCTGTAACTCACATTAAAATAAATCAGTGTACGTTCTACTCTATAACTCACATTAATATATATCAGTCTACATTCTACTATGTAACTCACATTAACAGATATCAGTCTACATTCTACTATATAACTCCCATTAAAATATATCAGGATACGTTCTATCCTGTAACTCCCATTAAAATAAATCAGTGTACGTTCTACTCTGTAACTCACATTAAAATATATCAGTCTATGTTCTACTCTGTAACTCACATTAAAATATATCAGTCCATGTTCTACTCTGTAACTCGCATTAAAATAAATTAGTGTACGTTCTACTATGTAACTCGCATAAAAACCAATCAATGTACGTTCTACTCTGTAACTCGCGTTAAAATAAATCACTGTATGTTCTACTCTGTAACTCAAATTAAAATGTCTAAGTGCACGTTCTACTCTGTAATTCATATTAAAATATATCAGTGTACGTTCTACTCTGTAACTCACTTTAAAGTAAATCAGTGTACGTTCTACTATGCTACTCACATTAAAATATATCAGTGTACGTTCTACTATGTAACTAGTATTAAAATATATCAGTCTACTTTCTACGATGTAACACACATTAAAATACACCAGTCTACGTTCTATCCTGTAACTCCAATACAAATAAATCAGTGTACGTTCTACTCTGTAACTCACATAAACATACAGCAGTCTGCGTTCTACTCTGTAACTCACATTAAAATAAATCAGTGTACGTTCTACTCTGTAACTCACATTAGAATATATCAGTCTATGTTCTACTCTGTAACTCACATTAAAATAGATCAGTCTATGTTCTATCATGTAAACTCCAATTAGAATAAATCAGTGTACGTTCTACTCTATAACTCGCATTAAAATATATCAGTCTACATTCTACTATGTAACTCACATTACAAGATATCAGTCTAAATTCTATTATGTAACTCCCATTAAAATATATAAGGATAAGTTCTATCCTGTAACTCCCATTAAAATAAATCAGTGTACGTTCTACTCTGTAACTCACATTAAAATATAGCAGTCTATGTTCTACTCTGCAACTCACATTAAAATATATCAGTCCATGTTCTACTCTGTAACTCGCATTAAAATAAATTAGTGTACGTTCTACTATGTAACTCGCATAAAAATCAATCAATGTACGTTCTACTCTGTAACTCGCGTTAAAATAAATCACTGTATGCTCTACTCTGTAACTCAAATTAAAATGTATAAGTGCACGTTCTACTCTGTAACTCATATTAAAATATATCAGTGTACGTTCTACTCTGTAACTCACTTTAAAATAAATCAGTGTACGTTCTACTATGTTACTCACATTAAACTATATCAGTGTACGTTCTACTATGTAACTCGTATTAAAATATACCAGTCTACTTTCTACGATGTAACTCGTATTAAAATATATCAGTCTACTTTCTACGAGGTAACTCACATTAAAATACACCAGTCTACGTTCTACTCTGTAACTCACATTAAAATATATCAGTCTCTGTTCTACTCTGTAACTCACATTAAAATAAATCAGTGTACGTTCTACTATGTTACTCACACTAAAA